GGAATATCCACAATTCTTTAAAATTAATCGTGAAACTATTACAAGAATAATAGAATTTTCTAAAACTGATACCTTTTTTTACTTTTGAAAGTTAGAGAACTATTATCTTACTGCTATCACACAATTGAATTTAAATTTAGTTGTAAATTTTTTTTTCTCACTGTATAAATTTTAGTAAAACATAGAAAAGTTCTAGAACAAAAAGAAGTGCGACAACTGTCTTGAAAGAAAAGATATGAATAACTATTCCAAACTGAGGTAGCTATCTATTCAAGCATCAGGTTATAACTTATGAAACAATAGCTTTTGAGTTGCCACTTTTGTCGTCATAACTTGTCAACAATTTAATACCTATGTAAATTAGACAACAAGGATAAAAACATGAGAAAAATTGAGTTATGATTTTATAATTCAGAATGAATCTTAAATTCATCTAATTTACTTTAAGATAAACATAAGATATATATGATCAATTAATATTTGTATTATATTCATCTCAAAACAAATTGAATGTATTTAGGAGTCATCTCTAAGCAGTATGTATGAAGGACAAATATGTACATAAAATATGGAAGTTTTCTTGAAGATAATGCTTTACAAATTATTTTCATGGTGCTCCAGTAATTTATTAGGAGCAGGGAAAGCATCTTCAAAAGGGATAATACTAATGTTGATCATATAAACCTGAGATTACAAAAAGAAAATGAATCAATATAGTTGATTTTAACTTTTTCCAATGTAGGAGTATGAAGAGAAGAGCCTCTTAACCTACAAAGTAGAAGAGGAAGAACAAGCTGGTCCCACAGAAAATCAAGAGGCAGCAGCAGAGGAGAATGAAGAAAATGAAGTACCGCTGCAGGCTGAAGAGCCACCAACACTTCTAATTGAGTTCAAAACACAACCTGAGAGTACAGATCTTCTAGTAAATTCTTTGTTTTGATCTCTTCTTTTTATTTAATATTAATATTTTGGGGGATTTATATACATACCTCACAATTCTTATATATTTACATTTCTAACACTTAAACTTTAACATTTACGTGCTTTACACTCAAAATTTTAAATTCACATTAAAAAATATGACTAATACTTATTTTGTAAGGTGAAATGAATCTATGTATGTATATATATTTTGATGTGATTATGAACAAAGTGATATATATGTAAATTTTGAAATTTAGGTGTTAGATATATAAATATGTAAGAATAAGTTGCGTGCATGTAAGTTTCATTAATTATTTATTTCATGCTGAAATAATGCTTTTATTTTTCAACAAACAGGGTTTGGATGTGATAAACCCGGTTGCTGCAGAAATTGAACAAAGCAATGCTTTAGCTTTAGCTATCATTCAGCCTGGTAGTTTACTCTTTAAATAAAACTTTATCAAAGTTTCTTATTCTCTGTCTTTTATTGTTTTATTCCTCACAAATTTTTTTATCCTTGTTTGCTTAGGATAAAAATCTGAATGGAGTAAAGTGTGAACCTAGTCTCATGATTGTTTATATGGGACCATTTTAGTCCCAGAGTCAATTAGTTAAAGTGCTAAATTAGTCCCCATACTCTTTAAATTGAAACAAAAATAGTTCTCTGCTCATCTTAGAGGAATTTGGGGACTAAATTCACATTATTATAGACTTCGACTAGAATCAAGGATTATTTTAACACTTTTCTCAATCAGAATTATTATCCATTAATATAAGCCGACTTGAGGAGCTTAGGATTATTTCTTCCGTAATTTTTACAAATAGTGTGAATTATATTTTAAACCTCTTTTATTTAAAATTGCTAGGCGATAATTCAATGTCAACTAGGTCAGCAGACCTTCTCAGTGGTGGTTCTGGATGGGAATTAGCACTCGTTACAGCGCCAAGTAATAGTGTCAACCATGTAGTCGAAAGCAATCTGGTTTGTTCTTCTGTCTTTTAGCTTCAACAGGCACTTTTTTTTCTCCCTGATATGTGTATCGACAACATAGAAGCTAAATAGTAGATATGTATGCATAATGAAGCAGCATATTTCAGTTGGCATGCATCACTTGCCCTAAGACTAATGAATTGAAGGCTTTCTCGTAATTTGCAATGTAAATACCATATTGTTTTCTCAATTATATAATCTTAAAGGATGGGCTCTATTTTTTTTTTATTATTAAAAGAGTATGCATAATTTTATTCTATGGAAGTGTCCACATGCGTGTAAGCATGATGAACCACAAAGAAACTGAGAGAAAAACACCAACAATATATTGTTTAATTTAGGTAAACCTATGTTCTTGGGAAAGGAGAGATGATTTGATCCACGAAAAAGAAGCCCCAATGGTGGAATACAATAGGAGAACATTCATTTGCTCTGTCTGAATGTTGTGTACACCCTTGTTTAATAATAAATTAAAAGAGAATCCCTAAGTCTGTTAGATAAATAATGGAAATAATTTATGAGAGATTAAAAAAAAGGGATTAAACAAATACTTCAAAAATTACCCACTTTAGAAGTTTCTCAAAAAGGGTAGTGCTGGTTTGTCGAGATGATACTTAGACCTCCAAAAGACGAACTTCTGGTGATTTTCTCTTAATTTTTTTCTTCTCCTCTCTTTTCTCAATTCTTCTCAACTCAAAATCCGAGATTTATTTATGTTTTCATACCCAATTAAGATTTGATGCATCAATTCAGATAGCTGCCGACTAACGCAAATCTATCTTATGCAAAAGCACGTAACCCATTTTGCATCACTTCACACTAAAAGTTTATTATCTACCTCATCATGTAATTTTTTTTGATATTGAGTAAATATTTAACATTTGTAAGAGACAATTCATCTATGTAAAAAACTGTCGGATGGAACTAACTTCTCCACTAACCATTTTTTCAGAGAAATTGACATTTTTTGTTTAATGATTTAAAATCTTTTTGAAACAAAATCACTTCATTTGAAATTGTCAATAACTAATACGAATGTATTCTTTGTAGTTTCATTTCCGTTTCTCTTACTATTCTCTTGTGTAACAAAAAACGCAAAGCCTTTAGATTTGATTAATCCACCGTTGATTAAAATCATTGAAGCACTTAAATAATGTTATATGGATTCTTATTTGCTTAATAATGAGGTAAACATAATGAAAGTTTTGAGCAATAGTATAAGAAGAAATTTTCAGTTAGTGGTAAAACTAAGATCTCAAATGTGAGAGCGCAAAATCACAATCCTTTCTATAATCTCACTAGAATTCAAGGGTGAAAACTTCATATTCTACATAGTCAAACGGGAATATTCTCGAATCTAGAAGGGGCGAGAGCCAACCCCAGCCATTGCTAATTCCAGCAAATTCTCTCGTTTTATCGATCTCCTTCCTTGCATATTCCTCAACAAACAATTAGGGGTTATTTTACTGAAAAGGGAATGCGGTGTAAAAGGAATGTAAGTTTACAGTCATGTATTGTATTTAAAATATTTTATTGCTGTTTGGTTCAATGCAAAATAAATGCAATACTTTATAATTACTTTCTTGTTTGTTGAAGGAAAATGAATTCCACGTAAAATAAATCCGTTAAAGTGGCTAGAGGTGGCTGGCGGTTGGCTTCTAACGGCAGCGACGTATATCAGTGTCAGTCACACATAGCACTGGATTAGTTGGAATTCATCCAAATCCAACTAATTTCAAATATATTGAAAATGAACTATAGAATGAATTCTAAATACATTGAACTTTTATATTGTGTTTGTTTTTCTTTCGATGAATTGTTTGACTTTAAAAACCCATGCCAAAAGAATACAATGCACTCCATTTACTGCCAACCAAATAACCCCCTAGTCACTATTTGCGAGTGCCTAATTCCTTTCCTAATCAAATATCTTGGTTTATGTAGGCTGGAGGGTTCAATAGACTCTTGCTTGATAGCCTTTATGAGGATGCATCCAGGAGACAACAAATTGCTGGAGCCACTTATACGGGAAGCCTAAATACTAATTCGTTCGACTTGAGAGATCCATTTTCATCATCAAATAACTTCGCCGTTCCGCCGAATGTTCAAATGGCTATGATGGCACAACAACAACAGCAGCAACAACAACATCAATACTATACACAGCAGCTATTTTATCAACATCAACAAATGCCTCAGTACTATCAAACACAGAATCCCCAGCAGCAAGCAGGTTCGACCAATCCTTTCGCCGATCCATATGCTCCTACTGCTTATTCACTGGGTGCAGCAGCAGCACAAGGCAATTCGAGTTTGATATGAATAACAAAATTTTTTTTTTCACTCCTTCATTCTTTAAAATTATATTGTATTTTTTCCCCCAAACTGGGATTAATTGAGGGCTTGATACATCTTGTACAGTTTGGGTATTATCTTCAGCCTTTTTGTTTTCACGATTCATTCAGCAGATAAGAGTTTGAACCATGCATACAACAATAAATTGTATTTCCTTTTGTTCTCTAAGGTTTATATTTGTAATGAATATGTATATGTTTGATATTTTTGTTTTAATGGCCTTCCAAATTTTGTCATGCATTTTGGGTAGCTCAAGTTGAGTTGTATCGGCTAAGCTTCAACCACAATGTTCTTGAAAACTTGGGAGAGTGGCTTGTGCTCAAGGCAATGAATAAGATTAGCACTGCATTTAAATCATTATTTGTTAAAGATCACTCATTTTTTTATAGCTTTGTGGTAAATAAATTTCACATTTGATCATTTATAAAATTTTTTAAATCAATTAATTTAGACTGTAAAAATTGAATTCAATTTTTGTTTGATAAAATCAATATAATATTAAATAAATCAAATTATAGTTAATTTTAAAAGTAAAATGACACCATTTTTAACTTAAATTAATGTATTAAAAATAGTAAATATTTTTTATTAAAACTAGAAATTTAATATATAAAATAAATAATATGCACATAGATCTTTCAATCATTTTTTTATTAATACAATTTCAATCATCATATCAATGCACGAACTAAGCCAATAATAAAAAATAAAAAAAAAAAGAGAAAACAAACACATGCAACTAAATCAATGCTTTAAAAATACAAGAAAATCAACCAAATAAAACATATAGAATTCAAATTTTAATTTTATGTAAGTAATACAAACTCTTGTGAGCTGAACCCTTGAATTTGCTTTTAAATTACCATAATGCAAACTCTGCATGCAGCACTAATTTTAAAGTATTCAAAGATTTTCAAAGTCATCTTGACACAATTTGTATAATGATATGATATCCTGAAACAATGGTTTTACTTTTTTAAAAGAAAAAAAAATCTATAATTGTGTTGGAGAATTGCGCTTTGATCCGAATACTAATAGATCACATTTATACTTTTGTCATTGAAAAGAATACACAAATATAAAATAAAATGGAAACTATATGTAGCTCAAATATTATTTACAATAAAGATATGGTCGTTTGTGGGATATTTATACAAGGTGTCCCCTTTTGTGATCCTCATATAATACAGCTCGCAAAGGGGAATAGAAAGAGAAGAGCTACCCATCTCTACATAAAAAAGCTCCCATCCTGATTGGATTGGATTTATTCCTATCAACAGAGATTTTGATGTTCTGTAATTCCTAAACTATTCTATTCACATAAATGAATAACCTTTAATATTTGCTTCTCAATCAAGCTATCTTCTTCTACAGTGAGAAAGCATGTTGTTAGCGGCAAAAAAAATAAAAAAAATAAAAAAAATACATAGATAGCATTTGAAACTTTGCTATTTACAAAACTGGCATCATCTTTCATCTGTTCTTCAAACTCTCACCCACATATTTTTCATTTTTATCAAATTTCCAAATGATTTAATTGTGGCATGTGTAAATGCACCAGTGGTTCGGTGGGTGAAAAAAGATTAACTGGTTGTTAGTTTTGTAAATAGCAAAGTTTCGAGTGCCATGCATGTAAAAATAACTGTAAAATATCTATGAAGTCATCTGAATCTGGCATTTTTTGATGGAGAATGTGTGGGATCGCCTTCCCTCTTTGCAGTGTTGAGTTTCAGCTTTTCAGTTTCTGCTTCCTTCTGTTGTTTTTTCTTCTCGAGCTCTTGCTGTCTGCAGTTCTCTTCATGGGCTCGCATGAACAGTCTTATGAAGTTCAAGAGAGTATTGGTCACTGCAGAGAAAATATTAAAAATGTAAGGGAATGAATTTTAACTCTTTTAACTAAGAAATTGTTTGGGATCAATTCTATTTTTTATTTTATTTTTGTATAATCTAATTTAAATTTAAATATGTTTAATTGACTTTAATATTTTTAAAAACACCCGAAACATCTTTTAGATATTTAGCATATTTTGAGAAACAAGTTAACTTTTGTTTATATAAAAACAAAAATATTATATTAAACAAAATGTTCTAAAAATTTTAAGGGCATGTTTGACATTTTTTTTTGTTTTTTTTTAAATTCTTCTTTAATTATTGAAAACTTATTTGATTGGTATAATTTTATATTTTTTTCATCTAATGTTCATAAAAGTAAATCAGCTTCTTTTTAAAAACACTTTAAACACCTCAAAGATGCTTCGAGTTTAATTAAAAATAACCATCTCAATCAAATATATTTTAATTTGAATTAAAAATACCAAAATAAAACTAAAAATTGAAAAAAAAAAGCAAAAGTAAATTCTAAAAAGCTCCTAGAGAAAAAATAAAAACAAAAGTGATGTCAAACAGACCCTAAGTTTGCAAATCGACTAAAATTTAAATCAAATGTATATTTGCTAAATACTGAAAATTTGAACTTCATCATCAAAAGATAAAAAAGCTAAAAACCAGAGTTAGAAAATTTTAGGCAAATAAAAATTAAAAGTTTGTGCGGTGGATGACTTGGAAAATAAGCGGCAAGGCATTGCATCACTTTGGGTCCCTTTGAAATGAGAAAAAACATTTAAAAAACGATAAAGAGTAACTAAAAAAAAAATGATCCATAAAATTTTTTAATATTTATTTTAATCACAAAGTTTTCTAACCGCTCAAATTAATCACTCAACTCATCAAATTCCAACCAATTTGATTCTATTGATGATCCCAACTCATCCCACTGATTTAATCCTTTCTATGGATGAAAATTCATTACAAAACCTTTTACATGAGAGTACTTTAAACTTCTAATGTCAATCTTATTAGCTTGAAAGAAATTAAGCAGCGAGTTTAACCTTTAAAATGTAAAATACTCTCATGAAAAATGTTCATCCATAAAATTTTGTCCAAAGAAACGATAAAGTTGATGGGAAGAAAATTGATTTAAAATTGGTGACTGGGGAAACAAATGCGAACGCCTAAAAGAATTTGACATTAAAATGACCACAACTACATAATCTATAGAAAATTTTTATCATTTCTTCAAAAATAAAATCTAAAAACAATTACAGCACACACAAATTTTGTAAAGGCGAAGTATGGCAATTCGGTTTTATAATTGACAGCAAGAAGCACAAACTGACGCGGGGCCGGTTAGGGAATCCGGCTGAACCGATTGTAGGCAGGGGCTGGCTAGACCGATGCCTCCTTATGCGGCTGAAAATTGCCGCCCAGTGTCTTTCCCCCCTCGCCTCCTTTCTTTTTTAGTGTCCCCCCATTCCATCTTTATTTATATGTAAGTTTTGTTGAATTAGGGTTATGTTTTGTGAGTTTAATTTTAGATTTCTGTGAAGGAGCCGATATCCTCTTTTCCCTTTTCAGGGTTGTATTCAAATACAACCGATGTTCCGACTGTAGCTCACTCCGAGGTGGTGGTTATCCTCAATGCTCCTCTTTCTCCACAGCCTCGGAGTTGGTTAGGGAAGCCAGCTAAACCGGCTCTAGGCAGGGGCTAGCTAGTCGGCCAGCCCTCCTAAGCGGCTAAAATTGTTGCCCAATGCTTTTCCTATTAAATATATGGAGCCTGTGACTTACTTACCTCATCTACCACGTCGCGTCTACCTCTCTCCTGTTTTCTTTAAATAGCCTCTTTTAGTTTGTCTTAAATGCTTAGCTAAGCCAAATCCTATTGAGAGCTAAGAGAGAAATGAAGAGAGAAAAAGAAAGGAAGTATTTCTTGTAAATGTAGAGGCGCTCGACAGTGTATTTTCTCGAAGTACTAAAATCCTCTGCAGCTCCGTGGACGTAGGCAAATTAGCCGAACAATATAAATCTGTGTTATTTTATGTTTTGCAATTTTTTGATCCGGTTTTTTCATTTCATTGCTGTCGTTTTTCATAATAATTAGTATCAGAGTTTTGGTTCAGATCTAAGAAAGAACGATGGACGGAGATGAAGTCACGACATCAATGACCGATAAGTTTAATGACACAAATTACTGAAGAATGCAAATAGAGGACTACCTCTATGAGAATAAACTTCATCTTCCGTTACTGAGAAAGAAGCCGAAAAAGATGGACGAAGCGTAATAAAATCCGTTGGATTGACGAATAACAATGTGCACCTGATGAAAAAGTTATTCAACTTGAAGATGCGGAATGTGTCTGTTGTTCTACACCTAAATGATTTCATTACTATCACAAATCAATTGTCTTCTGTTGAAATTAATTTTGATGATGAGGCACGTGCGCTGATATTATTGACATCATTGTCAAATAGCTGGGAAGTCATGAAGATGACAGTTAACAGTTCTGCAGGTAAATCCAAACTGAAATATGATGATATTCATGATTTGATTTTGGCTGAGGTGCACAGGAAATATTCTGACAAGACCTCGAGTTTGAGTTAGACACTGATGGATGATTTTGAGGGAAATCACAAGACAATAATTCAAACAGAGGAAGATCAAAATCAAAGTCTGGTCAACAGATAACCTGTCGGAATTATGGCAAGACCGACAACATAAAAATAAACTGCAGGAATCCTAAGCAGAAGAAGAATGATAGTGCAAATGTGGTAACTGAAGAAATACATGATATATTATTGCTGACAGTTCACAGTTTTGTTGATGACTGGATAATGGATTCAGGGGCTTTGATCCCGAGAATATAGTCGTGCAAAATATATAAAGTTAACTCCGCTATGCAACGGTGCCAAAAGCTTGATGCAATAGTTTATGAATAAGAAATTTAAGCAATTTACGTTGGGATTCTACGCAAGTATACGTATCGTTATCAAGTAATAAATGACTTTCTATTTAAGCCTCAAATATCGATCCCACGGGAATGTTTAAATTTGAAATAATGAATTAACTAGAAAATTCGCAGAAAATGAATTAACTAGAAAATTCACAGAAAATAAAACGAAATTACTATCACTAATTTCGAATGTTGAGGTATTATCAGAACTAAATTATTTAGCTACTAGCAAAACTAAAGTGAAAAGTTTAAACAGTAACTACTAAACTATTAAACTATGTTTATGTGATGAAGATTTCTTATGTGAAAAAACATCTTTCCCACTACAATGAGATTTTGGTAAAATGAGATGAGAT